GTTGTCTCCAGGTCCCTCACAGCGTCAGCCAGCCTCACCACCTCCTATGGTCCTCATTCTCATCTTATAATCCACCCCTAATTTGAGTTCTTGTTCAAGCCCCTATTTCCAGCTTCCTCAACAATCACTAGGCACCAGCCCTACTTACTATCACCTCTTAAGTCAGTTCCACAAGTCACCATGTGTTCTGAGGACCCCTGGCAATCAGGTCATCCCACTGGCCCTGGATCACTGATTTTCACTTTAATGTTCTTGTCCCTAACTACTCATCAGGTATCCTAGGGCGCTGAGCACAGATGACATTCAAACTGCCAGTCAAGGTCTCCAGCCTCTCATGGCTGCTACTAGCATTTTTTAGACTCAGCTGCAGGCAGATGATACCTTCTCGGTGCCAATAAACCCAAGTCAAGGAAAGGCCTCAGGTTGTCTGTCTGGGATCCTTTCTTTTAACAAGATTATCTTTTCTTGGGTCTCCTTCATCTCCTCTCCTCATAACTAAAGAACAAAATCAGATTATAGTGCAAAAATTCTCTCTATGCCATGGACAATGTGCACCAACATTTATGTTTATTTAGTTTGTGAATGGCTGTCATTTCCCAATCGGAGGGGGAGACTTTTGATTCCCTACGGAAGGGAAAAGGAACTTCTTCCCCCAACATTTATAATTTTCCTAATAGGAAGTCACCTCCTGTATTTTTTTTTTAAGAATACACCTCCTGTATTCTTAAACTTCATAAAATGGTTCCTTTATCAAGATCCTAGTAGCCTACAATGCAATAAAATTCTAGTGGCCACTGATTCAAGTTTTACTCTATGTCAAGCATCATGCATACGTGTCATGCTTTACATATATGATAGCTTAATTCCCACAACCCTATTATCTCCTCTGTTTTACAAACAAGGAGGCTATGGCCCAGAGAGTTAAGGAACTTGGTTTAACATCCCTCAGCTACTAACTGGTAGGACTGACTTTGAACCAGAGTCCAACTATGTAGGGCCTTCATGCCCAATCCCATAGCAAACCACCTTTCTACAAATGTCTGTCCTTTTTCAGAGGGTTTCTAGAAACACATTCAAGATGATTTCAACAACTATATTTTCATAATAAAACTTAAATAATAAAACACATTTTCACAGGGGTTTTATGACAATATTTGTTGCTAATTTTCTAACTTTTTTATTTGAATAAGTACCACCAGTGATCATGGAATGTTCTTTGCACAAAATATTAAAAATTATTTCAATTTTTCTTAATAATATCAACAAATCTTATTATTTGAAGAGAAATTGGAAGGAAGTTTTCAGAGGATGTACTCTTTAAAATGATTACTAATAAATACCAAAACACTTAGCCACATAAGTAAAACACAAATGGTTAGTTTGAACTATAGCAAAAGTATATAGTCAAATGAGTTATCAAAGGTTGTAACACACTAAAAGAATTAGCATTATAAATGATAATGATCAAAATACTGCAAAATGACCACCTTTGGTTATTTAGTAAATATGATGATTATCCTGGATCCTTAAATAGGACATTTTCTGAACACAGGAATTCACAGACACAAAAGAAATCCAAAAGTATTCTTTATTATTTTCTTTTTTATTGAATTATAGTCAGTTTACAGTGTTGTATCAATTTCTTGTGTACAGCATAATGTTTCAGTAATACATATACATACATATATTCCTTTTCATACTCTTTTTCATTATAAGTTACTACAAGATATTGAATATAGCTCCCTGTACTATATAGTATAAACTTGTTTATCTATTTTATATATAGTAGCTAGTATCTGCACATCTCAAATTCCCAATTTATCCCTTCTCACCCCCATTCCCCCTGATAACCATAAAATTGTTTTCTATGTCTGAGAGTCTCTTTCTATTTTGTAAATAAGTTCATTTGTGTCTTTTCTTTAGATTCCACATATAAATGATATCATATGGTATTTTTCTTTCTCTTTCTGACTTACTTCACTCAGAATGATGATATCCAGGTCCATCCATGCTGCAAATGGCACTATTTTATTCTTTTTTATGGCTGAGTAATATTCCATTGTATATACATATACCACAACTTCTTTATCCAGTCATCTGTTGATGACCATTTAGGTTGTTTCCATGTCTTGGCTATTGTAAATAGTACTGCTATGAACACTGAGATGCATATATCTTTGTGGATTAGAGTTCCCTCTGGATATATGCCCAGAAGTGGGATTGCTGGATCAAATGGTAAGTCTATTTTTAAAGGAATCTCTGCACTATTTTCCATAATGGCTACACCAAACTACATTCCCACCAGCAGTGTAGGAGGGTTCCCTTTTCTCCACACCCTCTCCAGCAGTTACCATTTGTGGACTTTTTAATGATGGCCATTCTGACTGGTGTGAGGTGGTACCTCACTGTAGTTTTGATGTGCATTTCTCTGATAATGAGCAATACTGAGCATTTTTTCATGTTCCTATTGGCCATTTGTATGTCTTCACTGGAGAATTGCTTGTTTAGGTCTTCTGCCCTTTCCAGAAGTATTTTTTCTGGGGTGATGGATATGTCCTAAAACTCAACTGTGGTGTTGATTGTGTAACTTTGCATATACTAAAATTCACTGAGTTGTACACTTAAAATGGACAAATGTTATGATATATCACTTATATTCCAATAAAGCTATTTAAAAAAAAGAAAATACTGGAGAAAAACAGAAAATATTGCTGAGGCTTTAAAAAATTGCTATCATTATTAATTATCATTTGCTGATGAAACCAGGCATCACATTAAACAGGTAATGAAGGTAATCTCACTTAATCCTTACAGCAGTCTTCTGGGCAGACATTCCTAACCCTGCCTGGCAGATGAAGGGAAGAGCATACTGGAGTTTCTGATTTGTCTCTTTGTCTCTGATTGGACTCCAACATTGCACTGTGTTCTACAATTTCCTTAATTCTGGGCATCTCTATTACACTTTATTTAAAATATTGTATAATAGTTCAAATCCTTGCTTAACTTGTGTATGAGTGAGCAGCCTCATGAAAAAGTAAAATGGGTTTGAAGTTTAGGGTAACAGATAAGCAAGCTGAAATCCCAAAGAAACCCTGGATTTTGCCTTTGTTCTTCACCCAAGGGCTTCATTCAGGGGTATGTTGGGAGTATGGCATGTTGCTTCAAAGTCATCTTAAAAGGTCTCACCATCAGGGCCTATCAGAGATATAACCTCAGCCTACGACACAGATCTACAGAGCTGATCCTGAGTTTATTTAAAGAAAAAATACAAAAAAAAAAAAAACCCCACAATCTCCTAATAAAAACAGCAGATCAACGTCACCAGTATGGGCTTTGTACAAGTCTGAGACTCTTCCCTAGGAACTTGCAGGAACAGGAATTCAAGAAACTGTCCTTTGGCCTCCATGATTCACATGTCATTCCCGTGTCAGTTAGGAAGACGCCACGTGCTCCCAGAGCCCGCAGTCACCGCTCAGGGCACTTTGTGTCCACTACTGTAGAGGGGTACATAATGCCCAATGAGGAAAGGGGCATGTCTGCCACGTTCACTACTGAATCCCCCACAGCTAGCGCAGTGCAGCGGAAATAGTACACTCAGTAAATCATCACTGAATTAATGAATAGCCTAAACTTACTTCGTGCTGGAGATTTCACGTTTTTGTTTCATTTTGTTTTGTCTTACAGGCTCCAATCCCTATCTGTAAATTGTTCAATCTGTGGGGATAAATACATGTAAACAATGGTAATGTGTGGTAAGTATATTTATATGCTATTAATTTAGGCACATGTAAGATACAGTGGGAAACTTGATTTATTCTTTATATTCGCTTTCATTAAAATAAATGATTAAGATGTATAATATGAATCATATATGTAGTAGGGAAGACTTAGTAAGATAGACTCATAAGACTTTATTTCCTTTTAGGTAATATAAGCTACCAATATAGTGACTACACTTCATCATGCCACAGATGAAGGTTTTGCATGGGTGTAGAGAGCTGAAGGAAGAGCTCATATCACCATGTTAAAAATTTTCAATTGTGCATTTCCTAAAACTCACACACGCAAAGGGTAAACGATTGCTCCTAATGAGTCCTCTCCCCTCCCCACCCTCCCCTGCATGGTTAGATGTTGTGTTGGGAGGGGAATAAACTCCTCCAGGGTTACTTGGAAGTTGTCACTATGGAATTTATCAAGCTTCTCTTTCCAGGTCAGGCTTGTCCTGGGAAACTGCTTGTCTCCCTTGACATGGGGACAGTGTGAGGACACTAAACATTTTATGAGGTCTGTCAGCAAAAGATTCTCTACTTTTGATTCAAATAAATCACTACAGGATCCTAGGAGTAAGTTTTTTGTGGGGGCGGGGGGTGAAGAAGGGGAAGTAGATTAGGGAGACTCAGACTGGAACAGGAGTGACATTTCTCGAGCATCTGCTATCTGCCTGGCACTGAACCAGAAGCATGACACGTATTGTTATGTTTCAACTTTACAACAACCCAGTGAAGTCATGACTTTCATTTTACACATGAGAATGCTGAAACCCAAGTAAAGCACCCACAATTAGTAGCTGGTGGGTCTTCTAATATTCTTCCTAAGACCATAAAACTCTAGAGACTTTCCTCTTCATACATATACTCCATGAATATCTATCTGTTTCCCATGAAATCTGTCCATGGGATTAAAATGAAGCAGATAGAACTCTTTAATATAATTTTTTTCCATTTTTTGGGAAAAAGTTACTGCAAAATTGTATTTTAAAAGCATACACATAGAAATCAAAATCATCCAGGTTTTACATCAGTACTTTGGGGGAAAAAACCAGCCAACCGGTTTTATTAATTTTTCTAGATACTCAGTTTACATTCTAAGCAAACTGATTCTCTTAACCATTCTATAAATATAATTGGTATAACAGATTTATCAAGGATCTTTAACATACAGCAAGTGTCTTTTGAGTATATGTATAATGACTTTCTAGAGGAGGAGCCTCAATGTCAGCCAAAGAAAGAATCTCTCACAGAGGAAAAAATACAATAGATCGGACAATTTAGCCTAAGTACCTTCAGGGTTTCCATGACAACCACAATTAGTAACATTTAACAAGAAAACAATGGATTTACCAGCTCAGAATAGTGGTCAAATACATGTCTTTTAATTTATTTCTACTATTAGAAATACAAAGAGGTAATTGAATACAGTACTGTGACTGCTCCTGCATGAGCTTTTCAGAATTTCTGACGTTGTGGGGCAATCACATCATTAGCATAAACAATATTGATTGTGTGGACTGTGGGGGCATAAGATGAATGTGCTTTAGAAATGCCATCTGAACACTTACCACCACCCCTAATCAATTACAAACACGAGCTGACAAGTTTTTTGCTCCAAAATGACCAAAAGACAAAAGGGATTCCCATGCTCTACCTGCAAGTTTGGCTGGGCTGCTCACTTAGAATTACAGAGGTTAACTAAAAGCAAATCAGTATGCTAGAGCTGTCAGCATTTCATGATTAGAGTCATAAAAACTTTCTGATCATCCTTTTTTTTGACTTTGCTTTTGAGAATGTGGAAATATGACCACATCAATTCTCCAGCATATAAACTTGGCTGTGATTACTGCCTGCCTTTGGCTGAGTCAGCACGAAGTTAGGCTATGAAGTAATGGGGCGTGACAGCCTCTGCGTTTCCCATCCACCAGTGAATGCTTTGTTGCAATGCCCTCCACTGTTGGCAAATGTTGTACATCAGCCTTCTCTTTTTATTTGGTACCATTATTTGAGGTTTGTAACAAGTCACAAGCTAATCTGTTACAAAAATTTTCTTCGGTTAAAAAAATTTTTTTTTCTTCCCCACATACATAGGGCAGGTGAGACAAAAACATTTATAAGTGATTTTGGTAATCATAATAGTTACATTGCATTGATTACCCAAGAGCATTTTGCAAGCATTTTCTCATTTAATCCTCACAACAACCCTATGAAGAAAGCATAATTATTATCCTCATTTTATAGCTCATGAAACCTAATCCCAGAAAAGTGATAGCCCCAAATCATACAGTGGCCACATTCCAAATAAACGTGAGGGTTTGACTCCTAGCAGCCTGGCTTAGGACTGGTTCAGTAATAATTATGGTACTCCAGTTGCTGAGGTCTGAAACTGCTAGGATTCTCCAGTCCAAATAGATACTATCAATGTAATGTTTGCAATCATACAAACTAATGTCTCCGCAGCAAGTCTACTCAGTATTTCTATTTTCAAGAGTTATTTGTTCTGAGATGCAGAAGAAATGCAATGGGAAGAACAGAGCCCAAGGACCTGGGTTTAAATCCCAGCTCGGAAACTCATCTGTTGGATGACCCTGAGCAAGCTTCTGGACCTTTCTGAATCCAAGTGTCCCTAACTGGAATACGCACCCTGCAGGGCTATGAGGAACACCAGCAATGGCATATGTTAAATATTTTACAGGTAAGGGGCACTCGGAAAGTGGTGTCCATAATTATTCTCAGCTTCTCAGAGCTCCTTCATATCTATCTCTGACCCCAGTTTCACCAGTTGCTCCAACAAGCAAAGATTTTCTAGCGAAATCCATGTGGATTGTCTGTATGCTCTGACTCCTCCTAGTGGAGTCAATCAAAGGACTTCCTTTCATTTTTAAATGAGGAAATCTTATCTGGACACCTTTATACACACTGTCATCAGGTAAGGTTTCTAATCCCAGGGGACATGTCACTTTCTAATAAGTAAATTCTAGAGTCATGAAAAGGTCAACTTACATGCAACAAGATGGCTCACGGAGGAAATTAAATAGTGTCTGAGTCATGACCGCTGGGTTGTGCTCGGCCTGCAGTGTAGTGGCTGTAGAAAGGGCCGTATCCGGGATACAGAGCACAACTAGAGGAGCTAAAATGGGACCACTGGCAGCGCTCGCTCAGCTCTACGGCAACAGGAGGGCTCTTTTGATCCCAATATACTCAAATAGATCCTGAAGAGGCCCTGGAAACAGCAGAGTGTTCTGTAATATTTAAAGGATGCTGCTGAGATTCAGTCTAAAATTAGACCTGCAGGCTGTTTCCTGCACTTCAGGCTAACCTTCCTTTCCATGCCTGTGATTTTCTTCCTGGATATTAAGGTTCTGGTTCATTTTAAAATCCACTTACAATAAAGAGGCCCACAGAAGCCTGGGCTCTCCTGCCTTGTACATAGACCTACCCATACATAGTCCTACCCAGGACTACACCTGCATTCTGTGAAACGAGGGGGCCGATGGGGCACCTGCTTTGGCCTGTGATTGTGCTTTATGATTCAAGGGCTGTATGGGGAAAAAGTGGACCTCTGCGTGTCTTACAAATCCATTCACATTGCCAGCACCTCAGTAACAGGAGGATATGTCCAGGATCTTTCCCTTTTCAGAGTTTTAAAATTTCAGGACCTTGAAATTTAACAGATTAATGTCTCAAAATCCCCTACACTCACTTAGAAATTACATCTTTAATTTTGAAAAAAATATCAAGATAACAACTTTGACTTTGGGTGTTAAATTATGTCAGTAATTGTAGGTGAGGAAAGTAATATAAGCCAAAAATGCATATAGTAGATAGAATTTAAAACTTTTCTATATGCACGCACACACACGTGTACATACACATATACATACACATAACGCACATATATACACATATATGCAGTTGCTCCCTGTGAATGGCCTTAGTGAAACCATCATTGGTACTATCAGCCAAACCTTCAAGGGGACCAGGAGGTAATGTTTTGCATTATCACAGTTCATCTAGTCAAAACCCAGGTGGTTGTCAATGAAGAATGCTCCCCCCTAGGCAAAGTCTGACTTTGTGTGATCCAGGCCTCTCTGAGACATCGGCTTCTGTCACCAAAGGACGAGAGTGATTTTTGTCCAGACTGAGTTTTGAGTAGAATAATATACAAGCAGGAAGACCATTGCCTGCTGTATTTTTTTCTTTCTATCTGTAAGTGTATTTTCAAATACTGTTCTTTAGATTCTGCGTGTCATGCCTTTAAATTTGTGGCTGGTGGCTGGAAAGGAGCTCTGGAGGGTCCACGTGTGCCCTCAGCAGCGTGGACGTAGGAGACACCTGCAACTCAGCGTCTCTGGCAAGCGAGCATTTTCCTTGCAATTTTTTAGCCTAAACGAAGTTCTCATTTAGAAATAGTTATTCTCTCTCAATTTTAAAATAAATCATTGTGATTTTAGCAATTGTTTTCTTTATTTAATAATAGTTATGTAATATACGTAAAAGTAGACAAAACTTTCATCTCTCCTCCCCAACACTGATTGGGAAACTATCCTGTGGGATTAAAAATTAGAGTCTAGGAAGTTTAAAGAAAAAGAAAACAAAACCCTGGCCTGGGCATGAGGAAAACTATGGACAGCTGCTCTCAGGAAAGCCAGCATTTTCCATTTTCCCTTTTCATTGCTAGCAGATATACTGTTTAGTGAATATATTTATTTTATTGTATAATAATAAGTATAGCATGGAAAGCACGTTATCAGATTAAATAAAATAAATTAAATTAACTTTATGGTCTCTGCCTTGAACAAGGTAGAGTTTAATAGGATTATATATATAATGAATATTAAATAGAATTAATATTATATTTATATGATATTATATAGAATTAACGTAGGACTGCCATTCTTTCTCTCTCTCTATGTGTGTGTGTGTATGTGTGTAGTATCCAGAAAAGTGGGGAAGGATGCTGCACTGGCATTCTAAAAATCTCTTCAGTTTAGCTTTTGAATTCTCTGCTGGCAGCATCATAATTTTTGTAGTAGAAACTACGACAGCCAAGCAAAGGATTAAGGCTGTCTGTGGAAAAGCAGCAGCAGTTGAATTCATAAGCAAGAGAAATTCAATATACTTGTAAATGCCTCACACAATAGAAAATAAGAGAGATAAAACACGGAGAAACAGAACTATTTATTTCTCTCGGATTATTTGAATTCTAAAAGTAATGAAGCCTTTTTATTTGCCACTGTCAAGATGCCATCTTGGATTTTGACCACATACAAAACAATTCTTTGTGGTATTTACTTTCAGTGTATTTTAAAATACATTTCAAATAAATTTTTAAAAATGCAAAAAATTATTCTATTCTCCTAATACTTTTTTCATTTTTGTTTGCTCTTTCCCAGTCATTTTTATATTTCATGCTTATTCTTCATATAGCTGTAAACATAGAACAGGTGAATTCTGGCAAACTATTTTATCTAAGAGATAATTAATTTTGTTCGGATTTCTAAGGAGACTTTGCAAATATTATGAAAAGTTGCCTAATATTATGAAGAATTAATGTAGGATTATCATTCTTAATTATTATTTAGTATTGAACATTTAAATTATTTCCAGCTTTTTTATTACAGATAATGCTACATTAAATATCTTCATACAAAGTTTTTTTTCTGCTGCTGAATTATTTTCTTCATGTAAAGTTCCAAGGAAGTGAGACTGGTGGACCAAATGGCATAATATTTTTGTGCTTGACTTATAGAGGCATTTTGCTTTCTTAAAGGGTTGTTCCAATTTACCTTGCCATCAACCACGTGTGTGTAAGGTGCCCATTTCTAAATTTGTGTGCTATTTGGAGTATATGGGGGCAAAGTGGAGGAAGAATGTATAGAGTAGGGAAGGATGGAAGCACATAAAAGAATAATAGTGGGTTTTCAATAAACGTTGGCTGAATAAATGAATAGATAATTGGATTTTTCAATACTCAACTCTTTCCTTGGAAGGAAAAGTAGCCTAGAATAAAGCATTTGTTTAGCACAGTGAATGGCTCCATTTTCTTCCAAAGCTTGGCTCAATAATAAAGCAAGTGTTGGCTTCTTATTAACTTTAAAGTAGAAATAAGATGCTCTTTTCAATATAATTTTTTGTTATAATTGACCATGAACTGCCTTAATACCACTATCATAAGGACAATACGTTTTATCATCATTTCCAATCTCTAACTAAATCCACTTCCAAGGCAATTACCTGTCT